AAAAAATAATGTGGAGCGGCGGCACGCGGGAAAAAGAATCCCCACCCCCCTAATAGTACCCCCCCCCCCCCCCCCCCCCCGGTCCCCACACACAGGATAAAAGATCCTGAGTCTTCTATAGCGTTCTGAGAATAAAATTTTAAAATACGTCTTTTATTAGCAAGGCTTCTACAGTATGATTTGTACTCATGAATTATTTTCATGATTATACAACATTTTCATTGCTTAGCTCGCTATGTTTATGTTTCATATTCAAAGGAAAAATATGAAAACAAGAAAGAAATAAAAATTAGAAACGAATATTTTTTTTCTTTTTGTAAAGTTCAATTAAATTTTCCTTTATTTTTTTATCGAATTTCTCAACTGAACAGCTGCACATCCTTCTTTTTTTGCAGTGTTACGTCTATTTTGACTTTTATCAAATAAAGCAATTGCATCGAATTTTTTTTTGGTTGTCCATTGACGTCATTTCCGCTCCATAAACACTTCTTAACGATCAGCATTCGCGATAGGGGTTCTATGCACTATTCTTTTTCTCGTAGAGAAGAGTCCAGCAGAAATAAATTGTCAGCTTGCTTGCCTGCTTGTGGGTCCCCACTTCAATGATTGGTCGAAAAAGAACATAATAGAGATGAAACCTCATAGCGCTCAAAACTTGACCAAAGGTAACCCAGGGTGGTGAGTTCGAATCCGGAACCCATTTCCTCGAAATCTTATTGGTCGGCTACGAACTAATGAAAATCAAGTTTTCCGACTAAGGGTGTTTTGAGAGCAGTCCGGTGCGCAGAGGCTGAATCCGGCCGTTATTCATCTCGAAATTCTATCTGCGGCCCACGGATTGATATTAATCTATCTTTTTGAGACATGTTTTGTCAAGAATAATTCTGGAAAAGAAGGGTGTGGATGTGGGTGGGTGTAGGTGTGTGGAGGTCTTTGAATGTAAAGATGAACGGCACAGACCCACACCCCACGCCCACACCTACACCCGCACAACCACACCCTTATTGAAAAAACACAAGTGTGTATCGAAAGATTTGACAAGAACTGTTTTTTTTTCTATTTGCCAAACACGAATGAGCCCAATTTCACTTTATCAATAGATGCATGCTGTTGATGTAAGGCGCGAATTTCAAACGATTTGAGCCATCGTCGCCAAATAGATACATCGGCTATTTTGCCTCTCCACGGATTGTGATGTTCACGATTCTTCGATCCGAGACAGAGAAGATCAGGCAAATGCATCTTTTGCTCGTGCCACTGCGAAACGTTCCAATTTTGTCGATAAGATGCACGCACTTCGTATCGAAGATGTGCTTCAGTCATGTCCACACTGCTCAGCTGTTGCCCATCGACCCATAGCTCTTGTCGATTTCGATTGACTCGAACCATAACGTGATACCATCGATAGGGTTCCATCTTTTCTCTGTCTTGACAGCTGAATGCATAATGTGCTGGAGAGATCATCACTTGACTATGAATATTCAACTCGACATGAAAGCCAAGATGAAGCCATGCATGGTTACTTAGAGACAAATCATTCCATGAACCAATAGCCGTCCTCCACCCGCCTTCACGTTCATCCTTGGACCACGCTGATGGATCAGCCCAAAACCAGATCGATGCGGAATACGTATCGGTCTGATATTCGCGCTTGTCATTCACGGGCAAATCAATGAACGATCGACCATCGAACACGGCACATTTACCCAAGAAACAGTCTTCAATCGTTGGCAGACCGAATACATGGCAGCGATCGCCCAAAACGCCACTTGCATCAAATCCTATATGGTTCATATCATCAAATTTCCACCATCCAATCAGTTGGTCGTTGCTAATGCCCCCCACAGAGTACTCGTTGAGAAACCATTCGTTGTAAATTATCTGACGCCAAAGACGGCAGGTACTTGAGGCGGCAAGAAGCATGTCGAGGGGCTGAACGAATTTGAAAATAGTCGAAAGAAGTTCGGTCGGAAGATCATTAATTGACAGTGGCTGGCAAGTCATATTTTATGAGAATAAAACAGAGAAATCTAAAGTATAGAATCTAGCCAAAATCGAAACATAACATCATTTCATTGGAGGTATTTCTCACCCTCAGGAATCCATCTCAATTTGCTACTAACCAATCGAGTTCAAGCGTTTTATTAAGATGGATACGAGTCTAGCTTAAAAATGATTAAAACTTCATCCAATCAAAGACACTTTGGACTATCATTTTCATAAACCTTGAAAAACTGAAAAACGAGTATTTCTGAGGTGGAAAGACAAGTGGAAGGCTAAAAGAAATAGCATAGCGTATTTGAACAGTCTGATAGCTGACTATCCGAAAGTGGCTTCTTTCAGACAATAAAAACACCGTATATTCAAGTCTCACATCAGAAGCACATCTTCATTGCAAGATCTATGATATTAAGCACTGCGAGGCGATACTAAACTTCCTTAAGTTTATTTATCGGCTTGACCAGCTACTGCCGAGAACCGCTAATATTTCAACCATCCGATAACTCAAATAATTCAAGTGCACGATATTGCTCTTAATTTTTCATGGTGTGGAAAAGGTGTCGCTAATTATTGGTTAGATATTTACTAACTTGAATTTGACGGAAACATATGTCAAACTCTTACACCGAACTCTGATGGACATTTGAAAAAAAGTAACAGAAAGTATAGTTGAACATAAGATACATTTTTCGGATCAAGTGTTTGCTGATGATTCAGAAATATATAAATGTGAAGAAGCAATAAACTCTTTTCTAGAAGAATCAAAATACAAGTTGACATTTTTTCAATGATCGAACATTATCACTAAGCCTAAGTGATTCACACGATATTTTGAGTTATAAGTTCAATATTTTTCCACACAAACTGCTTTCTCACTCTCTAAAAATATATCAAATGATATTGATCCTAATGAGAATCAGGAATTCGACAATTTCAAGAGTTATAAATAGGTCATGAAGATAAATACATACTCTTTCTTAAAAAAAAGTTCCATAGAATAAAATCTCTTTAAAGGTTTGTTTTTAGGAATTTCTGGAAGTACAAAAATATACAAACTCTTTAAACATTTACCAAAATAGTAAAAATACCCTTTAAGAGTACGCTTGGTAATGTGATAAACGTTAAAGGATATCTTGGGTATTTTCATGAACGTTTTAAGGGTTTATAAATTATTGTACTTTCAAAAATCATTAAAAATTTTTAAATGGTTTACTTCCATTTTTATTGTAGCATGACATACTCAAGAAATAGAAGAAATTCTATTGCATAATGATCGAAGATGTCTTCTTATAGCCTGTGGATAGATTACTCACTTGACTCATGCTTTTTTGTGATTATTGGTTTCCTACTAGGATGACTACTCTTTGTTTGACTCGCTTCTTGTTATCGCTATCGCACAAACACGTGTTACAGAGCAGGAAAAAAAGGTGAATGACGATGCTTCTCTATCGTTGTATTTTTTCAAGAATACGAAAAGGTTGCACATTCTTGGCGATCAACAATGACGCACATGCTACTGTAAATATGTCATTTTGCAGAGATGCATTTAGTATTACATAATGCTAAATTATGACGTCTCATTCTCTATATAACAAATATATAGGAATATCTGGAATAGATCTTGCTTTTCAACTGCTCAATTCAGTTGGTTACAGGACTAATCAACCTTTCGATTCACTTTCTTTAAATATTCTTCGTCAAATTAGTTTCTTTTCACCAAAAATTAAGTACTATTGATAATACCTTATTTTTATGCAAAAGATCGATTGCAACTGTCAGAGTATGCTGTGGTTACGACGTAAGAGAGTCCACTGAAATAAGGGAAAGTTTGAACGCCGTGATGGAGCCACATGCAGTTCGACATAGGAAGAACCTGATTGGTTTAGCGTAAGACGAATAAAAAAGATCGTTCTCCACCAATGCTCTAAATGATGAGTGCGTCAAGCAAAATTAAAGTACACGTTCCCCTCCCCCTTTCAGATTTTCACTCTGCTTCGAAGAACGAAGTGTCTATGTTTCACTCCACACAAAAGTTTTGTTCTGTTTTTTTTAAAAATATTTTCGGAGTCTGGCTGTAAGAGTGTGTGTTTATTTTAGAAATAGATAGATTCATAGCATCAAACGAGGCGTTTCAATCTTTACTAGAGATCATCATTATCAGAAATACTTTAGAATCTATCATAACTAGAAATTAATGATAGCAGCATGTGTCAAAGTGAACTAGATTCAATTTGTAATGCGACACGTTTCGACTACAGCTTACGAAGTCATCATCAGATATTTTTGGCATCTATTGAAATAATACAATAACAGATATAATAAATCAAACCGTACCTATGTATTCAAGCTTATCTGTTCAATAGGATATTCCACGACCTTGGAGATGAATTACAAATAAAATTGAAAGAAGTAATTTTTGAATCTTTGGTCTTGTTAAAATTGTTGTAGTTTAACACAGAATGTGAAGAAGTGCTACAGTGCTGAAAAGCATTACGATTTTATTAGGATCTTACGAAGTGGCAAGTATTCGCAAGGAATGGTCTTCTGCCAAA